TCTCCCTCCCCTCCCTGCCTCGCCTGCGCCGCCTTGCCTTCCTTGCGTCGAAGGGCGGCAGCGCGCCACTCCTCACTCCTCGTTTCCCCCGATAGAGGCTCCTCTGCAGACCCTCCACCTAGGCGTGTGGGGCCCAGCCCGCGTTCGTGGACAGGGCGGTGAGCGGTACTTTCTGCTGGTTGTCGACGACTACTCGCGTTACACCACGGTCTTCCCCTTGCGCACCAAGGGTGAGGTCCCTGCTGTCCTGATCCCTTGGATCCGAACAGTTTGTCTCCAGCTCCACCGTAGGTTCCGCCAGGACCTTCCTATCCTGCGTCTGCACTCTGACAGAGGTAGTGAGTTCACCTCCGACCTCTTGCAGGCCTTATGTCAGGGGTAGGGCATCAAGCAATCGTTCACGCTTCCGGGCTCACCGCACCAAAATGGGGTTGCTGAGCGCCGCATTGGCTTAGTCATGGAGGTCGCTCGTGCCTCCTTGATCCATGCGGCGGCTCCCCATTTTCTGTGGCCGTTTGTGGTCCGGTACGCCACGCAGCAGCTGAACCTCTTGCCCCGTGTCTCCTTGCCGGAGACCTCGCCCATACTGCGTTGGACGGGGGAGGTTGGCGATGCATCGCGTATCCAGGTCTAGGGTGCTCGTGCCCTTGTCCGCGATACGTCCGCGGACAAGCTCTCCTCCCACACCATTCCCCGTGTCTTCCTTGGCTTTGTCCATGACGCGCCTGGCTGGAAGTTTTATCACCCCACCTCGCGCCATGTCTTCCCCTCTCAGGACGTCACTTTTGACGAGTCGATTCCGTTCTATAGTTTCTTCCCCTACCGCACTACCCCTCTCCCTCCCCCGCGGATTTTCCTCGCTCCAGGTCCCCCTCCGTTAGATCCCCTCCCCCCTCAGGATCCTGCTCCTTTAGGTGTGTCTCAGGTAGACCAGCCCCCCTTGGCTGAGCTTGTAGAGGTCACTAGTGACTCAGGTGCTGCTGCGGGAGGTGCTGCTGGGGGTGCTGCGTCTGGGGGTGCAGAGCCTGTGCGTGAGGTGCTGGGGAGTGTGGAGCCTGGGGGTGCTGAGCCTGTCCGTGAGGTGCTGGGGGGTGCGGAGCCTGGGGGTGCTGAGCCTACGAGTGCGGAGCCTTGGGGTGCTGAGCTGGAGGGTGCCGGGTCGAGGGATGCTATGTTTGCTGGCGTTCCTTTGCGTCTCGTTTCACGCCGCGGGCCTCTCTCACCCCAGCACGCACGAGAGTGGCTTGCGTCACGCACCCGCCTGAGGAGTCTTGCTGCTGGAGCTGCTTGTCGTGGAGGTGCTGGGAGTGTTGGTGTCTCTGGTCCTGGAGGTGCTCGTACTTGAGGTATTGGAGCTGCCGGGACTGGTGCTGCTCCTCGAGCTAGAGGTGTCGGCTCTGGGGCTGCTGCTGCTGGAGGTACTGGGGCTGGAGGCCCTGGAGCTGGTACTGTCGACCCGTGAGTTAGGGCTGGGGCTGGAGGTGCCGATTCTGGGGGTGCTACTACTGGAGGTGGAGGTGCTGCTGCTGGAGGCACTGGAGCAGGAGGTGCTGCTGCTGAAGGCACTGGAGCTGGAGGTGCTGCTACAGGAGGCACTGGAGCTGGAGGTGCTGCTGCTGGAGGCGCTGCAGCTGGAGGCCCTGGAGCTGCTGGAGGCGCTGGAGCTAGAGGTTCTGGAGCTACTGGAGTTGCTGGAGCTGGGGGTTCTGCTACTGGAGGCACAGGAGCTGGAGGTGCTGTTGCTGGAGCCGCTGGAGCTGGAGGTTCTGGAGCTGCTAGAGGCGCTGGAGCTAATGGTGCTGGTGGCCCTGTACCGCCACGACTGTTTTTCGCTCCGCCGTCACCGTCGTCTCTGCCATCGCCTGACTCCATGCTTCGCCAGGTTCTTAGCCTCCTATCTTCTTCTGGCCTCCCATTACAGCCCGGCGCACCACTGCCTGCTCCGTCTCCTTACATTGAGCAGGCAGACTCGCTTACAGAGCGTCGTGAGCCTGCGTCTCGTCCTGTCTCGCCTGTTCATGCGTGCCGCACTGGTTGTCGTGTTTCTCGTGAGCATCCGCCGCCTGTCCCTGGCACGCACGCTATGGCAATTTGTTCTTCCTCTATTCCACAGCATGTTCCCTTGCCGTCTCCTCCTGCGTCTTCTCTGTCTGACGTTCAGGACCCTGAGTCTGACCTGGTTCGTGCTGCTCACCCCACTGTCACGCGTCTGCTAGCCAGTGTTGTCACTGACCCGTCGTTTGAGTCTGTTGCTGCGTCTGCCTTAGTCTCTGAGCTTGTTGACTTTACTACTGCGTGTCGTCCAGACTTCGCTGCTAGTCTTGTTGTTGAATCTGAGTCTGTGTGTCCTCTGTCCGTCAGGGGTGAGTGTGCTCTTGGCACAAACGTCCTTGAGGACAGGCAGGAGGACTTTGAGTGTCTTGCAGCCGCTGCGCCTCATCTCGTAGCCATGGTGCTTGCCCCTGAGGGAGACCCATATGCTATAGACATCCCGACTTCGTGTTCTTACGCTGAGGCGATCCCGGGTCCCTACTCCTCTCAGTGGCAGACAGCCATGGACGTAAGAGCAGCAGGGCGGTGCGCGGCCAGAGCAGGGCGGCGTGCAGCCAGAGCAGGGCAGTAGCAGGCAGCAGCAGGTAGAAGCTCCTAGGGCAAAAGCACCTAGGGCCTTTTTTATTATTATTATTTTAATTTTATTAAGGGTTTAGCAGGGCGCTGGCGCAGGGCAGGGCGCTGCCGCAGGCCGCAGCAGTGCGTGACGCGAAGGGCAGCAGAGCGCGACGCGACTGGCTGCCTTAGGGCGCGACGCTCGGGCTGCACTAGAGCGCAACGCGACTGGCTGTCTTAGGGTCCGACGCGCGGGCTGCAGTAGAGCGCGACGCGCAAGGCAGCAGCGCGCGACTCGTGGGCTGCCTTAAGGCGCGACGCGCGGGCTGCAGCAGAGCGCGACGCACGGGGCAGCAGCGCGCGACGCGCGGGCTGCCGTAGGGCGCGACGCGCAGGGCTGCAGCGCGGGCGTAGGGCAGGGCGCAAGCGCAGGGCAGGGCGCTGGCGCAGGGCAGGGCGCTGGCGCAGGGCAGGGCACTGGCGCAGGGAAGGGCGCCGCCGCAGGGCAGGGCGCTGGCGCAGGGCAGGGCGTCGGCGCAGGGCAGGGCGCTGGCGCAGGGTGACGCCAGGCATGGCAGGGCAGGGCGTCCGCGAGGCAGCGCGACGCGGGGCAAGGCAGGGCGTGCGCGGGGCAAGGCAGGGCGTGCGCGGGGCAGCGCGACGCAGGGTAGTGGGGTAACGCGGTAACCGCAATCGGAAGCCAAATATGGTGGGCCCGAAAGAAAAACGGTCCTACTGCTCCGATAGCATGTCAAGATAGCAAGCAGGAATGATTGCATTGAATGAAATGTGGGTACAAGTACTAACCCTAACTTCGGATTGTACCCCATATGAGCTACCCCACTATAGCCTACATAGATAAACATATATATACCGTATCCCCCCGGATATACCCCCATGGGGGGCAATAATAAAACAGGTTTTTTCATGGGGGTGGGCTTATAATCGAGTAAATTTATAAGCGCCGGCGTTTATAAAATGACATACATATTTTTTTATATCTTTTAACACCAAACTGTAGGTCTCGCGCTTGCCTTTTCAATCGAGTCGAAGTTACATGGGATCGTCTGTGAAATTCTCGCGCGCGCTGGGAGATACACCCAATCTGACTCACATCCAGCTCCTGACAGGTCCTGCTGACTGGACCCGCATCCAGTGCAGGGTCCGAATGTGAAGGGAACCGATTCTGCAACATATCCGCCTGCTAAAGTAAAAATCGTTACAGCTTTTTGAACACATTTCAAATTTTAAAGTTTACGTGCGCTTATAATAAAACAAGTTTTTTCAAGGGGTGCGCTTATAATCGAGGAGGGGATATAAGCGCCATATGCCAATTAGAAGCGCCAGGCGCTTATCCTAGGGTGGCGCTTATATCCGGGGGGAGACGGTAGTTTGACAGTAAGAGGGCTGGAGGCCATTTGGCCTCCACCAACGTCTTCATTTCAAGACAGTGCAGTTCCACCCAATTCTAATGAAGCACATTGCCATTGCAAGAACAAAATGCAAGCTTTCTCAATATGGTATTTATTTTAGATACCTCATGTAGGTATATATTCGTCTCTCTCATAGAAGCACATAATACAAACTGTTGGTGTCAAACCAATCCCAGCAAAGCACCCGCAATGGATGTTCAGTTGGTGTCAAAGGGGAACCAAACAGCTTAAGTGCTGTACACAGGAAACCAAGTAGCGATAGTTTGACATTGCATTGCATGGATCAGAACTTCTGAAGCCCATGAATCAGAGGAACAAGAGTTTGACAGCAAAATAAAAAGAGAGCAGCTAAGAGACCACATACGGTATGTACAGCCTACACCCACCCACCCACACCCACTTCAGCCTCTCTACCCGCACACGATCCTTACCCCTGCTAGACCACCACACCCTCCAATAAACGGCCCATTTGGATACCTATCCCATCCCCCACCCCCCAGTCCCCCCTTTACCCATACCAAAAACCCATACCTACGTCCTCTTGAACCCACACCCACCCACCCACCCCCCCACCAATGAAAAGAATATGCACACATTGTACAGATGCACAGGCCCACGCCACTGAGAGGAACGCCACGACCACCAGGCGAGGGAGGCCAACAGGAGGCGTGGAGCAGAGACGTCAGACTTTCCACCCAAGACGACCTTTGATGGGTAGAGAAGTTGCAAAGAGATGCCTCGATCCCGCCATTTTCCAATCTCTCCGTCCCGATTCCTCCCGCACACCCTCGTTTCATACCCCGCCCCTGAATCCTTCAAACTCCCTCCTCATGTTCACATCTACACACCCCGCGCCCTGCCCTCCCCCTATAACCCTCCCCTCCCACCGCTCTCCCTTCCTCCCCGCACACCGCTCTCCCTAATTAAACCGTCACACGGTCACGTATACTTGGTGTATTTTCACCAGTTTTCCTTCATCACTTTGGCTTTCTCCAAAATGAATTTCCCCTCCTTGTATTTCTGCGGCTCTTCATACGCGCGCTCGTACTTCCACCCCAGGACTTCGTGGCACTCGGAGCAGTAGATGTCGGCGACGGTGTGTAACCCGGTAATGAGCATACGATCCTCCGTCGGGCCCACCGACACGTTCACGACGTTCGCGAACAGGTATGCGCGACCGTGCCGGCCCTGCAATTGGACGGTTGTCGACCGCGTTGTTGACGAAGCGGTTTTTTATGTCGTTAATGGTGTCGTTGATGGTGTTGTTGTTGTCGTGACGTTAAAGGATGCCAAGGAGCGATGTACAGGCGCCACCGTAAGACCGGTGCATGAGGGAAGGTAGGGGGTTGAGGAAGGAGGGACGGGGGACGAGAAAAAAAGACGGAAGGAAGAGAGGGAGAAATATAAGCGAGGGAAACGAAGCAACAAATAGAAGATGGGACGCGATAGGAAACTGGCCCATGCGGAATAACTAACGGCGCAGAGGAGCCCCAATCCACCTGGAAAGACTTAGAGATGATTTCGTCGTGGTCTGCCGCATGGCTCCGGCAGTTACTGCAGCTGTAGATGCGGGGACCCTTCAAATAGTGCTTGAACGGACGCCCCATGACGCCCACCCGCTCTAGCGATTCCGGTCGACGGGAAAGGTGTGACGGGAGAAGAAAAGACCGCGGCTGAAGAAGCCGGGGCCTTAAAAAGGCGAGAGAGAGGACACTAGCGTGTGTTGCTGCGTGGGCGTGCGTGTGGCCCAACGCGTATATTTTCGCGGACTTGGGGTTGTTCCTCTCCTGCTGGGCTGATGATGCTTGTGCTGCTAGGAGGGATGGGGAATGACTCAAGAGAGGCTCTAGCACGTGAGGGTTTGCTTTGCATGAGACCGAAATCCTAATGGCGAATGGAGTGGAGAGAAGGTAGCAGTGGATGATGGGATAGGGAGGCGAGGCGAGGGGAATTGACGGCGAGGTGGGGAAATGGATGGAATTCGGTTGGGAACACTAAGGGGCTTGGATGGTTTGGCTCGGGCGTGGTTTGTGACTGGGTCCTTGGCTCGGTAGGGGGGCGAATTCATTCATGGGATGAATGTTGCCTGGTTTGGGTATGTGAGGAGGCACGGGTGGGGCTGAGTTGATGGCTTGGGGGATGGTGAAGGAATGGGTTTGGTCGGGTCGGGCTGGACGGAATTTGACTCCCTGCGGTATGACTGGGCGAGGGGAGTGGACGGGCAGAATTGTGAGAGGAACATTTCTGCCCTGTTATTCGTTTTGTTTCGTTTCGGTTTGTGTTGTGACCCATTGGCAGCATCCATGCGGCCCGACCTGGAGTCGCTGCGCGCTGAGCGGGTTTCTGCGGGGCTCGGGTGTTGATGGGAGGGCCATAAGGGGTTCGCTTGCACACAATCATGAGATTCATCCATGGGAGGGGGTCACATGGTCATTCAATGGTCCGTATGATGTTTTCCATGGCATGGGTGAGGGTTGGGGGGAGGAAAAATGTGCCGACGGAAGAGCAGCTGAATGCTCTCCCTCCATGTGTGGACGAGTGGTTTCTTTCATACCCGCAGGAGCATGAGGGGTGGGGATTGGGGGGAGGAAAAATGTGCCTGTGGTTTGGTTTGGGGTGCTGTTGAGCTTGGTCATTTGGCTCGATGACTGGCTTGGCTAGGGTTTGGAAACTCCAGTTTCAGGCCCTGGTTTCTGGCTGGGGCAACGTCATCCTCCACGCATGAATGAGCTGGCTCGGATTGGTTCCTGCTCCGAGGAAGCAATTCGATTTGTCACCTTTGATGTGGGGTCACACACTCTGGGAGATTTGCTACATGGTATTCGACATGTGTGATGCGGTCTGATGTCAGACTGAGGACGCGTCACAATTCAAACATTGATCCCTGCGTAGGATCGGTGTTTCGCGGGTCCAGTACTTCGTTAAGTTGCGAATTTATGGCTACTTTGCTTCGTTATCTGTCGCCAATGTATAGTTGTCCCCTCGAAGTCACGCGATCGATGGCCCTTGCCACACATCGATCGGGAGATTTTGCCCCCATGATTCTTCAAATGTGTCCCTTGAGAATTGCGGTGGGCCGGCGATTGCAAAAATGCAGTCGTGGCACACTGATGTGGCGATCGATTTGGCAGGTTCGGCAAGCACCCCCGAACCTCGGTATTTCAATTGTGACGCGTCCTAAATTCTGACCAGATCCCCAGCAATAGATGAAAAAATGTTTCGCTTGTTCCTTCTCCGTGTTCTGTTCTCTCCCCGACTGATACAATATGGGCAGGGTGCGCGTACGTTTACAGGTACTATACAGTTCATTCGTCGTGGTTTGAAACGATATCAGGCGGTTCACTGCGGCTTTAAAATTGCACCGTTTTGAACCGTGACGCATTACAGATTACCGTACTGGATGAACTGTAATGTACGGAAAACGAACGCGCTGGACCCGCCCTAAGCATACCATATCTCAGCATTACAAGAACATACGGTACCTCACCCACAATTCCACCTTCCATAAAAGTGCAGCAACACAAATCAACACTAGCGTGATTATGGAGGTAAGGTGACAAAATGTACAATGCATGCTAGAGAACCATCACAAGATTTCCAAAAAGCCAGCGACCATCGCAAACTGCTTCACGAATGTTTTCACCGCATAACACCGGTCTTCAAAGCATTCGTTGGAACAGTGCCCATAGCCCCTGCAACTGCAACGAGAAAACCAGAGGTTATGATGGAAGGTGATATACACAATAAGAAAAGAAAAAAGAGAAAAGAAGCTGAAACATTGCAGGCTATCCAATCCCATCCGGCAAACCCAATCCCACCGAGCAATCTGACTACAGGAACACAATCAATGCGCCGTACCTTGGCTCGCTTCTTCTCCCTGCTGATCCGAGCAGCCAGCTTCGGCTGAGGAGTGGGCCAAGCCATGTTCTCAAAAGGGCTGCTGCCGCTGCTGCTCCGGCGGCCACCGTTCTTCTGACTCTGACTCGCTGTGAGCTCAGTGCAAGCAGCTGCTGGCCCTGCTGGGATAGAATCCAACTTTTCGGTACCAGTGCTCCCCTCGCGTAGCTTGGTGCTGGCGAGGCTGCTGCTGCTGATGCTGCTGCTGCTGTTGCGGCTGCTGCTGGGCTCACTGGTATCAGAGCGGTCCAGCCTGCTGCCCTTGCCAGTGGAAGCACTGGTGGGAGTGCACATGCTCACAGCGGTAGGAGACACAGCAGCAGGGATAGCTGCATTGGGGGAAGCTGTGGGAATTGAGGATGTAGTGTAGGCAGTGGTGGGGGATTGAGGGATGGAGGTGGCAGCAGTAACATCGTCTGTCTCAGCAGCAGGGGCTGCTGTTGCTGCTGCTGCTGCTGCTTTTTCGTTTCTGCGCCGAGCAGCCCGCTGAGAAAACATTGCAGTGAATCGGGAAGTTCCTGGAGGCAGGAGAGCGAGGAGCGAAGGGAGAGAGGGGAGAGGGGGAAGGAGAGAAAAGAAGACGTTTGAGGATCAGAAGGTTTAACAGCAGAAGCAACAGCAGCCGCTTAGGCAGAAAGGATGTTGTAAGGTGAAATGAAAGGGAGATTGTGATTCAGAGGAATACAGCAGCATGAATTGAAACGGAGGCAAGTTTTGCACGTCAAAATGGTAAGGAAACACAGGTTGTGGGGTAGACAAAGGGGGAGAGGGGGAAGAGGGGGAAGAGGTGGAGGCTGGGAGGGGGTGGGAAGGAGTAATGCAGGGGGGATGCATTGCAATCCAGCAGATTGAATGATTGGCGAGCATCGCAGGATGAATCAAGGTTTGGAAGGCAAGCCATTGCGAGGCAAGGCAAGGCAAAGGAGGGTGCTGTCGCCGCGCATGCGGCCAGGCGATTTGGCAAGGAGTACCATAAGGTATAGCTGCTATATACGCGTTCCTAGAGGAAAGCAAGTACCTAGACATAGAATCGTACCATAGAATCTGGCCGGAATGACTTGACGCTCACTGGGTTCACTCTCCTCAGCTGCCTCCATTGCTGCAGCTACTTCTGCTTCTGATTCTGCTGTTGCTGCTGCTGCTTCGGTTGTTGCTTCGGCTGCTGCTGGTGTTATTGCTGACGTTGGCGCCACAGCCATTGCCCTGCTATCACCGTCGCATTCCCCCTTGCCACCGCCGCCATCCCCGCTATTGTGCGCTTCGGCCAGCTCAGAATGCTCGCACTGGGAAAGATCCAGCATTAGGGAAGCTGCTGCTGCCGCCGCCGCCGCTGCTGCTGTAGCTGCTGATGCTGATGTTGCTGTTGTTGCAACTGCTGCTGGAGCTGCTACAGCGTCTGGTGCCGCGTGCGCTGCTGCTGCGGATGCTGACGGGTTATTAACCCCAACATCTTCCCCGCACACGCTACCGCCCCCACCTATGCTGCTACCATCGTACCGCGTGCTGTTCCCATCGCACAAGCTAGCCCCGTACGCACTATTGCAGTTCCCGTATTCGCCCTGCCAGTCGAACTTGCTGCGGTCCTTCACCTGCTCGTACCGCTCTTTAAACTGTGCAGTGTACTTATAACCCCGTTTCTCCTGCGGCTGCTGCGGCGGCGGATTCTCCTGTTTCTCCGCCGATGTCTCCGCGTCGCCAGACCCGCCCGAACGGTGCAGGCGCGCTTTGAGGCGGGAGAGCGCGGAGGAGCGCTTGGCGCGCGCCTGGGCGGAATCGGAAGCGGAGGGCTCTGGGGGGCAATTCCACTCCGCGAACTCGGGAATGGTGGAAACATGGGGGTCCTGGAATGGGGGAAACATGCGGAAAACAGGAAGGGATGGAGAAGAAACAAGGAGGCTTTTGAGCCGACTCAAAAGTCAGCTCGGGAATGGTGGAGACATGGGGACCTGGAATGGTGGAGACATGGGGACCTGGAATGGTGGAGACATGGGGACCTGGAATGGCGGAAGCAAGCGGAAACAGGAAAGATGGAAACAGGTCCAGAAAAAACAAGGAGACAAGACGCCTCACCAATATTACCTTATCAATGCTGGTGTAGAAAACCTTGCCAGGACAAAATAATGCTACAAAAAAAAAAAACCAATGTTAACACACTTGCTAGTCTAGACGGAGAGAGAGGCGCGCGGGGAAGGAACTTGCGGATTGCTTACAATGACGAGTTAGCGCAAAACATCAGCGGAGTATTAGTCGTGAGGAGAATAATAGAGGTAGTTCTTAAAAAGATAGCTCTTAATTCGTCATTCAGTGGTAGTTAATGGTTACACACCTCATTGCCGTAGTTCAGTACTTTAGCGGCGCGTATCTTCTTCACCGAAACCGCGCCGCTGCTCCGTCGCGACCCCTGCGACCCCTGCAACCCCTGCGACACGTGCGACATGTGCGATCCGAGCGACGTGCGCGACTGGAAGGAGGTGCACGACCCGAACGACGGCTGCGAGGAGTGCGACACGGCTGACTTGAAGGACTCATCTCTAGAATCATCATAATCAAGAAGCGCGCCGGCCGCGCCGACCACGTCACGTTCGGACGCGTCTTTAAAGTCGACTGCCGACTGCGGCGCGTCCACGATTCCTCCCGCATTAACATCGAAACCTTCCGTCGCGAGGTAGTTCCGCTGTCGCTCGTGGCTCCCGTCGCCCGTGCGACTCTTTCCGCTGTCGCTCGTCGCACAGTCGACAAACGCGCCGTCGTAGGCCCCGTCGCCGTCCGCCAGCGAGTCGCCACCGATGCTGCTGCAACGGCTCCTCCTGTTGTTGCTGTTCCCTGCGTTGCTTCGAGCCGCCTTGGAACGCGCGAAGCTGCTGCTGATGCTGCTGAACCGCTGCAGATACCCGCTTCTCGCGCCATCGCTCGCGTCGTGATCGCCTCCAGTCGCGTCGGCGACTGTGCCTATCACACAGCCGCCATGGTCTAAGCGGTGATGGTTGTCCATCAAAGCGGCAGCCATGGCTGCTGAAAAAAAGTAACTCTTCAGAACTAGATGGATGGATGAATAACGCGAGGCTTTAGATACTCAAGGAGACAGCATTCTATGGCTTAATTACCTCCTGCGGTAATGCCTACAGTACTATACGTGCCCCCAATTGCTCTGGTTGAGACTGATCGTTGTGAGTTTGGCACAATTCGCTCCGATCTGCACCTCGCCTCTACCAAGATGGCGTTGTTCTGCCTCAACTCGTCTGGACTATACTGATGCTCCTGCTACAATCACTGTCTGCTCCCTTTTGTGAACCTGCAACCAACAAGTTGGGGGGGTCGGTCGGTGGTGGTGATGCTGGTGGAAAAGGCTAGAAAAGGGGATACGGTAGGGTGAAGTGGACGAGACGAGACTCGAAATGAGAGACTCGAGGGAGGGGAGGGGAGAGTGAAGATCGAGGGAGGGCAAGGAGCGGAGTGTGCGGTTTTTGGGGTGGGGTGGGGAGCGATTGTTTTCTCCTGATCGTTGCATCGCCGCCGCCAGCCACGGCAATACACGGAACAAGATCCACGCAGTTATGCGATTGACGGTTTGATCGGGCGACAGACAGCGCACCAATCCCGGCTACGATTGGCTATTTTGGTCCAGGTCTTGGGTAGGGGGAACGCTACAGTGTTGCGGCGATGCGGGAAAATAACGGCATTCGTCCATCCGTCGTTTAGAAGACGCTAGCAGGTAAATGTAGCGGTTTGTCCGCCAGGCCTCCGAGTCCGCCACCACCCGCACAACTCCACTTTCCGCTTCAACTTTCTGTGCTCATACACCCTGTTTCGCGCCACACTGACATTCGCCATATTGACAAGCCGGTTGTACTGACATCAATGCGTCCAAATTGGTCCCAGAACATACCGTATAAGCACTTTTGCCGCACGAAACCGAACTTAAAAGCATGGTTGTTTTTATAAACCGTTGTCTACCGTTCTCCTGAAGTGCATTTCGGTTGCAAGCACCAGCCCGCTGAATCCAAGCATACGCTCGCTTGCCGCAACGAACTTCACGCGTTTGTTCGCGCTTTCATCGTTGTTGCGGTGGGGGCCCCTCCCTGTTCCATCCATGCTATGGCATGTGCTACATGCCTCGAATTCTGAAACGTCCATCTTGGTAGGTGGGTGGGTGGGTGGGACGTGTACTGTATGGACCCATGGACCATGGCTCACATGGCTATGGTTTGGTCGGCGGGCGCGAAAAGAAAATGCGAGGGGGGAGGATGTGGCGGATGGCGGGCGCAAGGAGAAATGTCCAGGAGAACAAAAAAAGTATCGGAGGTGTGATTGTACAGATTCAAATTTTATGGACGGGCGCTAATCGACACTACAGTCTGGCGGATACAACCAAGGTGATTTTCACATGCGGGCAGATTCGGTGTGGGCGGGATGGATGTGCAGTACAGTATTCGACGGTTTTCTTTGTGCAGCAGTTGGTAAATGAGGACAGTTTGACAGGCACAAGGGTGAGCTCACGTCATGTCACAGCTAGGGGCAGCGGCGTCAAATGCCTTTTGAAAGTCCATCGGGTTTCAACTGGGCAAGGAATGATTGGTAAAATGATTTGGCAGGAGCGGGCACTTTGCTTATGGGTGTAGTATGCTCTTCCAAAACTAGTCTATGCATTTCTGCACAGAGCATTTCTGAAACGGAAAACAGTCGAACCAGCCCAGGTGGTCGGTGCGAGTAATCCACACGCTGCGAGCTGCGACCTTGTCCAGCATACAGTAGGTACGGCCTGGAAAGAAGAGCTGTACATGACCCATGGCGTGAGATTTCTTTCACATAGACTATTTGTTACGGGTGCAATGGATCTAAGTAGCGAGAATTGCACTAAGGTGTCAAACGAGTACAAAATGTGAGCGAAGGCATGAGCGAACATTTATACGCGAAACATACAAACGGTAACGCGGTGCGTGCGAGCTAGCTAGTGCTACGCTGGAGCGAGGCTCAGGCTAGTTCCGAAGTGTAGGCCGACACGGCCAGGCCAGCAGTGCGAGGTTTGGTGAAACAGTGCGCGCGAAGTCGGCGAAGTCCCGTTAGCAGTTGTTGGAAACAATAAGTCCTAAGTGCGCTTCTGTCGTATCAAAACCCAAGGCACCAAGCGAAGCAGTCCCAATCGAAGCATCGAGTCAACCTCGGAGGTTAGGGTAACCGCCTGGAGGTTACGAGAAAGTCAAAGGTCGCTGACCTTTGACTCGACAATTACAGCGCGACAGTTAAGGACACACAACTGACTCGTTACAGAGCAGTTGCCCGAGTCGCACTGTATTGAACCGCAACAGCAATACAGTTATCTACATATCTATTCGTATTCCCTGTACTCTTATATAAATCCTTGTATTTGCTTGTTTAATTCAATCAACTTTGCTCTCACACACCAGTGCAAGGTCGGTTCAAATTCTTCACTAAACGCTTCCGCTATTACAACTACTTCACCTAGAGTTATCCCTTGCAAAGATCCTAAGGGGCTATCTCAGCCCAACATGGTATGAGAGCAGACAAGGGAAACTCTACTCCTTTTTTTTTCAAGATCATTACAAGACATGGCAACAAACAAGGAAAGGAGCTCCCCTAATGGCTCCTCGGGCACTACTCCTACTCCACCGCCAGCCTCTGGCCTGCAGACAGAAGAAGGCACGGCAACAAGACCAAGAGGAACGTCAACCGAGACCCCCATGAACCACCCTTCGGACTTTGACCAGAACATGATGGAGAAATTTTTCTCCTTCATGTCCTTCTACGAACAACACCAGCAGTCGGGACCTGCACAAACACACAACAGCAACAACGGAGCGACACCCATGAGTCTTGATGGGTCGTCATATGCGCGAGGAAACCAGCAGCAGCAACCTACCTTTGCTCCGTACGAGCGCGGGTCAATCAGCTTCGTGCCCCACCCGCAACCTTCACCTGGACAAGAAAGACCACTGGACGCACTTCAAGTTCAGTCGCAGTTTGCACACGTCATAAAACTGCAAACGTCAAGACCCTTCGACGGCAAAGACTTCTTTACCTGGTCCTTTGAATTCGAGCTGATGATGGAGGGCGCGCAGATACTCGGCTTCTTCGACGGGTCCCTGCAGTATCCAGCCAACGGGACACAATATGAAAAGCAGCAGTATACGTATCAATCAATGATGGCGTATACAATCCTATTGAGGAACGTGACACCAACTCAGCAGCAGAACATTCGCTCTTACCGGACCTTCGGCAACTCGGCGGAGCTCGCGTACAGCCATCTGAAGAACCTGTATCAAGCAACAGACAGTCTAAACCAGAGCAGGTTAATGGCGCAGTTGACGACAGTCGAAATGAAACCAGGAGAAAAAGGACTAGCGTATATCAGCCGATGTCGCGAACTGCGCGACAAGCTGCTTCGATGCGGAGGGTCAATCTCTGAAGACGCCTTCGTGACAATCATCATTGGTGGGCTTGGTCCTCAGTGGCGCGCCACCAAAGCCATTCTTCGAGCCCACGGAAGAATCTCTGAAGCTGCACTCTGCGCCGAAATACATGCCGAGCAGCAAGATATGGACCTGCAGGAAGAACGACACAGGAAGAAAACGACAGTATCAGAGTTCGCATTCCACACTCAACGACGACACAGCAATTATAACAACCGACAGCAGCAACCGAAGATAGTACCTCCTTTCTGCCACATCTGCAAGACTTCAGGGCACCCGCGCACACACTGCCCGAATCGTCAGCAATCAACGGCACCACAGCGACAACTTCGACCTTCAAGCTCCCAAATGGCTTCAACACAAGCAAGTGCGACGACCACTATTCAAGCTTCAACGACTTCACCCGGACAACCTGCACGAGGAGCAAGAAATATAATCAACTGCATGACGAAGATAACCGATTCGTGTACAACCGAATCACCACCACACTACTCACCGGAAGAAGAGCTTGACAACAGAACGCCTCGCCGTGAGCTACTCCAGCCGAATCCAACGTACGCCGCCATCGCTCAAAGTGAACCGTCCGGCCAAGACACCTGGTTCTTGGACAGTTGCTGCGGGCAACACATGTGCTCGTCCGGGCGTTTCGTACAACGCGAACATCGACTCCAACGGGAAGTAATCATCACGGTTGCCAACAACCAAAACCTGCGCACACGAAGACAAGGAGTGGTACAGCTTCAGTCAAGAGAAACAAATGTCATACTGCACATGTCTAAGGTACTCATTGCTGAAGGACTCGGCTACAACTTACTGAGCGTTAGCCAGTTGATGGCGAAAGGAATTCATCTGGAAGCCGACAGCACGACCCAGGAGTTCAAGCTTTACCACGGGAGAGGCGGTCTCTACATCGGAAAAGCAGTGCTGAAGAACAACGTCTTCGTCCTCGACTTCGTTCCTGACCTCGGCACTGCAGACAGCGACGCCATCGTGAATTTCACTGACTGGACACACCCTCCGGATCTCGACCCCGACTTCAGCCCGGGAGGCTTCTGGTACTCGCACACCATTCCTGAAGCAGAACGAACACGAGCATTAGCAACAATTCGACAATCGGCAGCAGCAGCAACAACATCGGCAGCAGTAACAACATCGGCATCAGCAGCAACAACATCGGTAGCAGTAACAACATCGGCAGCAGCAACAACATCAGCAGCAGCAGAAACAACGACACCAGTCACAGTCGACGAAGCACCACCAACACCCGCGCAACAGCTGAATCCGACTCAACGTGAAGTCCACCGAAGCGCCAACCTCGTCGCCAGCTTTTACTCCAACTCCGACGCATATCAGCGTTCACCTGGACACCGCGCCTCTGAAGAGATCTGGCACGCACGAACAGGACATCCAAGCAACACGGTTTTGAATAACACGATAAGAGCAGGAGTCCTTGACAAAGATTCTCTACTTCTACCCGATGGCAGAGAACTCCAGAAGGCACGAGGGACTTGCCTTATATGTCCCGAAGCTGACTTACCTCATCGACCGTTTGCTTCACATCACAACCCGAGCGCTCCAGCGTACGCACCACTCGAAAAAGTCTACAGCGACATCCTCTACAATCGCGAACCAGGACAAGTCAACTACAACTACACCATCACCTTCATCGACGCCGCCACTCGATACGTCTGGCATCGCAACCTACCCAGCCGCGACATGGCGCTCGCAGCATTCGCCGCCTGGCTACCGATAGCAGAGAGAGAGTCTGGAACACAACTGAAAATTTTCCAGTCAGACGGAGGTGGCGAGTACACCTCTCACCGCTTCAAGCAGTTCTTGGCGGAAAGGGGGATCAAGCAACTCCTCTCCCTTCCCTACGCACATCAGCAGCAAGGTGTTGCAGAACGACTGAACAGGACCCTGCAGAACAGCATGCGCAAACTGTTACGTGGCATGCGGCTACCCAACCACCAGTGGCCAGCAGCAATGGACCACGCTGTCATGCTGCACAACTTGTTGTCGTCGTCGTCACTCCCGAACAACGCATCACCGCATCTGCTGTGGACAGGGAAGCAGGGCAGCACGAAAATGTTACGAGTTTTCGGGTGCATGGTACAGTACAGACCCCCAGAAGCACGAGCGGGAAGATTTTCGCAACGGGCACAGTGGGGACTACACCTCGGCATCGAGAAAAATTACAACGCATGGAGAATCTTCGACGTCCACACAAAGGAAACAGTAGCAGCACGTGACGTGATCTTCTACGAAAGACTCACCCTTCAGACGTACCTCGCCAACTTGCACGAGAATCGGGACCTCACCAGTGGTTTTCGTGGTGACCGAGCCTTCGCGTCAGCAGCGGGTGAAGCAGACTGGGACGAGCAGAATGTTGACAACGCATCGGCAGAAGCCGGACCTCTCCCGTACTGCTCCATCAACGTGCCCATGGACGAAGAAAATCCTCGCGACAGTAACAACGCCGAAGTCTTCTACCACTTCGCCGATACCGGTTACGTAACACCTGCAACCGTCAACACAAATGAAGCAGAAAGGATAGGACCGAATTTCATCCCTGATCCAGAAGCGGGAGACGAAGCAGCTTATCCCGAGGATCCAGAACTCCCTCGATACTCACAGACTGGGCTGCAAATCCTCGGCCTCGTCACCGCAGTCCACGGGAACACACGCAGCTCGCTTCCTAAGGAGCCTGCAACGGTTCAGCAGGCTCTGGGGGGGGAACACAGGGAGAAATGGCGCGAAGCCATGGATAGAGAACTGAAGGCATTAGAGGAACGCAACACTTGGAAGGTTGTTTCCGTAAGCGTGGCACGGAACAAAACCATCCTTACCGGGAAATGGGTCTTCCGCATCAAGACGAAAGCAGACGGCACGATCGAAAAATTCAAAGCACGCTGGGTCGTACGTGGATTCGACCAAGAGCAAGGACGAGACTTCACCGAGACCTTTGCTCCAGTCAGCCGCCACACGTCACTCCGAATTCTCCTCGCCATTGCCGCCATGAAGAAGAAGAAGTTACGGCAGATCGACGTCGCGAATGCCTTCCTCTACGCACCTGTGGATGCAGAAATCTACGTCGAGCTCCCGCACGGTTCCCACGGCGAACCCAACCGAATCTGTCAACTACTTAAGTCGCTCTACGGGATCAAGCAGGCACCGCGACTGTGGCAGCAGTACCTGCACGCCCGTCTCATCCGCATCGGCTTCAGTCAACTACCTCACGACCAAGGCATGTACCGCCTCACTAAGGGAAGCGACTACGTTCTCCTGATCGTCTACGTGGACGATCTCCTCTACATTGGGTCAACCGACGGCATCGCCACGTGGTTCGAAGGAGAGCTCCAGAAAGACCTCACGCTCACGGTCTCCTCCACCGTTACACAGTACCTCGGGCTCAACATCCGCGAAGAAGAAAACGCCATCTATCTAAGCGCCGAGAAATACGCCGACACCATCGCGAAACGCTTCAGCCTCACACCAAGCGCCATCTCCACGCCTTACCGCTACACATCAGGAACCGAGAAGGAACGAACTACTCTACTCAAGCCCGCCGGTATACGCGACTATCAGAAGAAGCTCGGATGCCTGCTATTCGCCGCCGTCACCTGCCGTCCTGACTTATCCTACTCCGCAAGTCAGCTCGCCACCTATCTCAAGAAGCCTGAAGCTGAACACCTGGCGGAACTTGATCGCGCTCTCCACTACTTCGTCAGCACCGCGACGATCGGGCTAACCTACCACAAGAGCGCAGCTACACCAACTAAGCTAATCGGCTACGTCGACGCCGATCACGCCGGCGACACCGACAACAGGCGCTCACGCACCGGCTATGTCTACCGCCTTGAGCCTATCGGTCCTATCTCCTGGCAGTCGAGCAAGCAGGAGTTAATCGCACTATCTTCAGCAGAAGCAGAATATATTGCACTCTGCTCAGCCACCAAGGAGGGACTTTACCTTCGCGAACTACTGGAAGAAGCGAAGCTAGCCGAGTTACCCAGCTTCACCGTGTTCTGCGACAACCAGTCAGCAATTCGCATCGCCAACAAAAACGGCTTCGCAAACAGGACGAAACACATCGCCCTGCGCTATTTCTTCGTGAAGGACGAGATAGAAAAAGGGAAACTCGATCTGTCATACTGCCCAACATCCGAGATGGCAGCCGATTACTTGACCAAGAAACTCGGAAAGCAGAAGTTCGAATACTGCATGATGCTGACTGGACAAGGCCACGTCACCAGCAGCGACACTCCAGAAGCGAAGGGGAGTGTTGGAAACAATAAGTCCTAAGTGCGCTTCTGTCGTATCAAAACCCAAGGCACCAAGCGAAGCAGTCCCAATCGAAGCATCGAGTCAACCTCGGAGGTTAGGGTAACCGCCTGGAGGTTACGAGAAAGTCAAAGGTCGCTGACCTTTGACTCGACAATTACAGCGCGACAGTTAAGGACACACAACTGACTCGTTACAGAGCAGTTGCCCGAGTCGCACTGTATTGAACCGCAACAGCAATACAGTTATCTACATATCTATTCGTATTCCCTGTACTCTTATATAAATCCTTGTATTTGCTTGTTTAATTCAATCAACTTTGCTCTCACACACCAGTGCAAGGTCGGTTCAAATTCTTCACTAAACGCTTCCGCTATTACAACTACTTCACCTAGAGTTATCCCTTGCAAAGATCCTAAGGGGCTATCTCAGCCCAACAGCAGTAACGGGCGAACAACGGCTGCTGCTGTACGCGATGTTGCAGGGTGCTCTAAGGAATATCGAGAAAATTCCTTACACTATTATATGCGGTGACATTTTTCAGTATAAGTTATACATAAATGCAACACAGAAAAAACTGGTTTTGTGCATTCTGAGAGCACATCACAACATATTCTCACACAAGGCGAGAGCGTTGTGATTCAAACTTCTGATCGTCAGGCGCAGTGTGATTCGATTGGATGCATTTTTTTGGATCACCCGGATAGGAATACGCATGTGTCCTTATAGGGAATATGATAGGCTAAAATTTCTGTATATAAAATTCAAATCTATCTTCAAGACGCTTCAGAATGTTTTGTTCTTACCACATTTATTACATAGGTACTAGATATCATGTGAACTTATGACTTCTTTGATATACATCCGTGTTGTGTTGTGTATTGATTACAAAGAGTACGATTCTCAGCACTCATGTCGGTGTTGGATGAGGTGAGCGATTGGCCGCCTCGCTCGTGTCCTTATCCGAGGGAATGGCAGACAGATCTGCTGTGCTGTGTCATCCGCAAATCACAACTTCCAAGACAATCATTTTTCCCAATCACAATTCAGCATTGCCCTGGCGCGCTGCACGACAACCACGCAGTTCCCCCAACCACAAGCACAAACCAATTTGGAGAGAGTTTCGGGTGGTCCCCACAACAAGGTTCCCCAACCACAAACACCTACCAGCCAGCAAAGTTACAGGGAAGCCAGCAAAGCTTGAACACCCCATGACCCTCAGAAACGGAGACTGGAAATGCTTACATAAGCTCCGTAAAAACGCAGTAAACTTTCCATGACCTGTGACCATTTCCCTATTTTCCTCCCCAGTGTGGAACTTACTTTCCCTCTTTAGATAGAATCTGCTTTGCTTCCATGCTCAACGATACATTTCTTATGCGTCGACTTCACCATCCTCCTCTCCATTTCTTATGACTGAGTTTTTATGCAGCAGCAGGAGCAGGAGCAGCAGCAGTAGCAGCAGCAGCAGTAGCAGCAGCAGCGGCCATATTTGTATTGGCGGCTCCGAACTTATGTGGCTTTTGCGCAGCTGGTTAGGATAGGATCATAGCCGCCAATTTCAATTGGGCAGGTCCCTCCGCGCCGCGTACCTATCTGTTACTCCTTGCCAAGCACTGTCTCTGCTGGCTGCTTTGCAAGTTCCTATTTATCGTTTCGCCAAACGGGTACCTCAAAATCACAATCTTTATTCTCTTCAGTCGCACCTATTTCCCACGAATTGAGACAACACGTAGCCTTCGCCAGTGGATGCCCGCCATGGCCACCGCCTCGCTGAAACAGCCGCACCTCCCGCGTCCGTCTCGTTCGAACGATCCCGCACACTCGTCGTCTCCCGCAATTTCAGGAACCTCTATAGTCACCACCACACTCCCACATCACCCTACCAATCCACGTCAGCAGATACCCCATGCGGGGAGGCTATGCTGTTGCGCTGCCGTGCGCGGCACTCCCGGTAGGGGGAGCGGAAGAGGAGGCGGAGGCAACGGCGGGACGGGGGGGGGATCCGGGGGACTGGACGGATACGAGGATTTAGCCCGTTACGGCTTGGATGATTTTGAATTTAGCCCGATGTTCATGCCTCCTTCCCCTACCGCTGCTCCCTTTCTCCCGCCTTTTCCGGAGCAACTGCCGCCTTCCCCATTCTCCCCCTCTACCGCCTCCGCCCCCGCGCAATCACCTCCAATTCCCGCCAGTTCCCCGCCGTTTCCCCTAGACCAGCCCCTTGTGCCTCCGCCCGCGCACCTCCCATTCACCTCTTCCGCGCCCGGGCAGGTGGGCGCACCGGATAGTGCGGGCAGCCCGGGAATAAATATCGGTCTCGGCGCATTTCCCGGGCTAGACTTCGGCGGGTTGGGGATCCGCCGAGGGCGCGAGCGGGGGAAGAGCGGCGGAGAGGAGGGCCTGGGGCAGCAGCTGGAAGGGCTGTGGGGGGGAAGGGCGGAGGGCGCGCGAAAGGAGGGGGGGCGCGGAAGGCGCGGAGCGCAGGGCGCGGGGAGCAGAGGCGGGAGGAGCTCGGGGGCAGGAGCGGGGGCAGCGGGGGGGAAGGGACGTTTAGCGGGAGCAGGAACGGGAGTAGGCGCAGGAGTGGGAGTGGGAGCGGGAGCGGCATCTGCGACGGCATTCGCGGCGGGTGGTTTGTCGTCTTCTGATGAGGAGGAGGAAGGCAGCGGGACGTGGAGCGTGTATCTGCTGCTGTCGGCGGACTGCCGAAAGACCTACGTCGGTGTCACGATGGACGTGCAGCGACGGTGAGCGAGCCGCGCAGATCGTTGTGAGAGCGGCTTTTGAGCGACTTATCGTGTCACGACTCACGATAGACGCCTCGCGCTGAAAGGACTGCCGAAAGACCTACGTCGGTGTCACGATGGACGTGCAGCGACGGTGAGCGCGAGAGATGAGCGGCGACGGTGAGAGACAGAGCAGAGACGGTGAGAGGAGAGCGCAGACGGTGAGAGGAGAGCGCAGACGGTGAGAGGAGAGCGCAGACGGTGAGAGCGGCTTTTGAGTCGTTTGAGTGCAGCAGACGGTGCGACGAATGTAAACAGAGTGGAGAACGGCTCATACTGGTGACTTTTGAGTCGACTCAAAAGTCACCTCAGAGTGGAGAACGGCTCATGCTGGTGAGAATGCAGCGCTGACGGGGAGGGGCAGCGCCGACCGGGGAAGCGCGCAGACGGGGGAGGCGCGCAGACGAGGGAAGCGGCGCGGATGAGTCTCTTCAAATGTTGTGTCGTAGCTAGCCCCTATCGTAACTGCTGAGCGAACACCCCTTTAGTGGCCATGGCTTCACATGGGACTGATGCTTGCTTGCTTGCTTATGAAACCTTTCGCTACTCTCCTGGATAGCCCACTCCCCATTCTCCCCCTTCCCCCTACCACCAACCCCCCCTCTCCCCCCCCCCCCCCCCCCCCTCCCTCTCCCCCCACTCCCTACCCCTTTCCCCTTCTGCCTCCCTCTCCTCCCCCAACCCCGCTGCCCCCTCTGCAAAACCCCACTCTCTCAACCCTCTTCCACTCCCCCCTCACGTCCTTCCCTTTCCCTCTTTCCTTCCTTCCCTCCTCCTTTCGTCCGCATCCCTCGTTCTCCCCCTCTCCCCCTCCCCCACTTCCCCCCTTCCCCCCCTCCCCTCCCCAGTGTGAAGCTGCACAATGCCGAAACCTCTCCAGTGGTGGTGGGGCGGGGGTCAAGTCAACTCGTGCCGGTTGAGTTCACACAAAAGGGCTGGCCCCCCTCCTCCTTTCCATCCTTCGCCTTCCCCCCACATCTCCCCCTGCTTCCTCCTCCCCAGTGGTTCCGGGGGTCCAGTCAACTCGTGCCAGTTGAATCCATACGAAAGGGCTGGCCCCCCTCTGCCTCCCCCCTCCCCCTTGGTTGGCCTCCTTTCCCCTCTTCATCCCCCTCCTCCCCCTCCTTCGCCTCCGCCCTCCCCCTCTTCCTTCCCCACTGCCCTCTGCTCCCCACCGCTCAGGCTGAAGCAGCACAATGGCGAGGTGGTGGGGGAAGCCAAGTCAACACGTTCTCCACTTTTTCATCTCGCTTCCCCATCCCTCCCTCAGTCTGAAGCAGCACAACGATGAGGCGGTGGGGGAAGCCAAGTCAACACGTTCCCCTCTTTCTCACCCCTCCCCACTTCCCCATTTCCTCCCTCCCTCCCCCCCAGTGTGAAGCAGCACAATGGCGAGGTGGTGGGGGGAGCCAAGTCAACGCGCGCAGGGCGCCCCTGGACGCTGGTGGGCGCAGTGGAGGGCTTCCGCACACGCAGTGAAGGTGAGGGGAGAGGGGGGGAGGGGGGCCTTGCTTTGCATAAGGGGATGCACTGCACGTGTGTCTGCGTCTAGGTGGCGCTGGTGGGCGCTGGTGGGCGCTGGTGGGCGCTGGTGGGCGCTGCTGTGCGCTGCTGTGCGCTGCTGTGGGCTGCTGTGCGCCGCTGTGCGCAGTGGAGAGCTTCCGCACACGCTGTGAAGGTAGGGAGGGGGAGCAAGGGGGGAAGAGGGGTAAGGGGGAGGAAGGGAGCGTGATGGAAGGGGTGTGTGTCTGGGCTTTGAAGGTGAGGAGAGGGGGGGAGTAAGATGGGGGAGTGACTGGGGGATGGAGGTTGGTGCGTTAGTAGTAGTGCAAGGGTCAAGGGTAGTTGCTTGCATCACTAGGGGGTTTAGAGGGCAGGGCATGCACGGGTGGCTTGGTGGGCGCTGGTGTGATGAAAGCTGAGATTTGGGACGGCATACACGGTGGGCGCTGGCATAAACGGTGCATGCCCTGCCTTCGTGTCTCAAGACTCAACTGCTATCACGAGGGCAGGACATGCACGGATGGCTGGTGGGCGCTGGTGTGTGCATTGGAGGTAGGGAGGGTGGGAGGGGGTTACGGGGGAGGAAGGGTAGGGTGATGGAATGGGGGTGCGAGGGAGGGAGGGAGGGAGGGAGGGAGGGAGGGAGGGAGGGAGGGAGGGAGGGAGGGAGGGAGGGAGGGAGGGAGGGAGGGACTGGGTGAGCAACGCTAGGTGACGCCACCTGGTTGAAATGAAACGCGTGAGAATAAATGTCTAGGTTCGTACCCGGACCTCCATCGAAGAGGCCATTTTCGAGCAAAGCTAGTCGATTCAAAGTCACTGAAACTCCAATGGATTTGGAAGGGACATTCGGAGTCAGCTCAATATGCCGACTCGAAAGTCACCGAAGCTCCGTGGCGGGGGCAGCAACGTTGCAACCAGGACCACCAACCCCTATCGCAAACCCGATCCTGGTCTCGCTTCGCTTCGCCTCTCCGCTCTCCCTTCACTCCTCTCCCTCCCTCTCCCTTCACTCCTCTCCCTCCCTCTCCCTTCCCATTCATCTGCATCCCCAGCCTTCCAGCTCGAGTGTAGGATTTAAAAACCCTTGCACGATTCAACAGCTACCACCATCCCATAACCTCTCTCTGCTGTCCCCCTCTCGTGTCCTGCCTGTCTCCAGCCTTCCAGCTTGAGTGTAGGATTTAAAAACCCTTGCACGATTCAACAGCTACCACCATCCCATAACCTCTCTCTGCTGTCCCCCTCTCGTGTCCTGCCTGTCTCCAGCCTTCCAGCTCGAGTGTAGGATTTAAAAACCCTTGCACGATTCAACAGCTACCACCATCCCATAACCTCTCTCTGCTGTCCCCCTCTCGTGTCCTGCCTGTCTACAGCCTTCCAGTTCGAGTGCAGGATTCAAAAACCCTTGCACGATTCAACAGCTACCACCATCCCATAACCTCTCTCTGCTGTCCCCCTCTCGTGTCCTGCCTGTCTCCAGCCTTCCAGTTCGAGTGCAGGATTTAAAAACCCTTGCACGATTCAACAGCTACCACCATCCCATAACCTCTCTCTGCTCTCCCCCTCTCGTTTCCTGCCTGTCTCCAGCCTTCCAGTTCGAGTGCAGGATTTAAAAACCCTTGCACGATTCAACAGCTACCACCATCCCATAACCTCTCTCTGCTGTCCCCCTCTCGTGTCCTGCCTGTCTCCAGCCTTCCAGTTCGAGTGCAGGATTTAAAAACCCTTGCATCATACGGGGATTCAGCAGCTACCACCATCCCATTATCTCTCTCTGCCGTCCCCCTCTCGTGTCCTTCCTATCCCCAGCCTTCCGGTTCGGATGTGGAGGTGGAAGAACCCTTGCACCATACGAGGCAACGGCAGCTACCACCATCCCATAACATCGACCCAATCTTGCTCTCCTCCCTCCCTTCTCTTCTCTTTTTCCATGTCCTGACTTCCTGTCCCCAGCCTTCCAGTTTGAGTGGAGGTGGAAGAACCCTCGCACCATACGGGGAGACGGCAGCTACGATCGCTCTGCAGTCTCCGCCGTGCCTGCCGCCACCGACAGGTTCGGCAACCCCGAGCCTCTGGTGCTGCTCCGGCGCCGCAGCGCTCTGGAGGAGGCTCGGAAGTCCTTTCCAGACTGGAACCACCTGACCTTCACGTGGAATGAAAACACTGTTCATGCGCCTCCTGCTGCTGAGACTGCTGCTGCTAGTGCTTCCGGTGCTAGTGCTGCTTCTGCTTCTGCTTCTGCTGCTGCTGCTGCTGCTGCTGCTGCTGCTGCTGCTGGTGCTGGTAGCAACGACGCTGGTGGTTTGGCAGGCAGCAGCAATCCCCAACTTGCTTAGGCTTGCAACCCCACTCCCCCCCCCTCCCTCCCCCCCCCCTCTTTTCCACTTTTGGTGAGTGCCTGCTTCGCCTGTGGTTGGCTTGCTTAGTGGCGGTCTCGACACAAATTTGTGAAGACACGTGTGTGAAGGGTGTTGTTAACTGCCCGTGGAGTGGAGCGGCATTTGATTGTATCCAAAACCAAATGTCCTGCACATGGAGACTGGGGATTGTGATTACAGTTCATAATTTGGTTGGTGTTTCAATGTCAAATCTGGAATTCAGAGGAATCCGAAGACAGGGTTGTTCCAATTGTCATCCTTGTGACATGTTTCCAGCTGCAAACATTTTAGTTACAGTAGCTGAATATGCACAAAGCATGGTGTTAAAAAAAAGTACAAGACCGACCTGTCCACAAATCTTGCCATACACTACCGGTACCATGAAATGCCTATGGTACCGTATTACCGTATAAAGCATGTGCGTTATATACAGGTAACATGCTCCAATATACAACAACATGACAGAGCAGTGCCAGTCACGTGCACAGCCCTCCCCTAAAGCAAGCAGCACCCATCAAACATCCATCATCTTAAGCACTCCCTCCCACTACCCCAGTATAATACGGTACTATCTCAGTATTATGCAGCACACACCCAGCTACTCTGCTGCGCCCCATCCCATGCATCGCAACCCCCTCCTCTCCATATGATCCCTTCTTTCCGTCCTTTCTTCACAGCCCCTCTCCCTCCATGAAGCACCTCCACTGGTGCTGGCAGTCTTTTGAGACGTCTCAAAAGTTGACCCCTTCCGTCCCTCCTTTCGTCATAGCCCCCCCTACCCATCCATCAAGCAGCAGCAGAGGTGGCAGCGTGGGCATGTGCGGTATTGTAGAGCAGTGCCGGTGCTGCTAGGAGTGCTCCCAGGAAGGCCGGGAGGCCTAGGACCAGTGGTGATGTGGGCTGGGAGGATAAGGCGCCTTGCAGTGAGGCGAAGAGGACGTACGAGAGAATAGCTGGGGGATCGTGTGGGCGTAAGCAAGAGGGGAGGAGGGTAGGTGGGAGGAGAGGAATGGAGGAGAGAAGGGGTGGGAGGAGAGGAGAGAAGAGGAAAGGCGGAGTAATCAACAATGAGTGTCAACGATAACCAATTGAGCTTTAGGAGTGACGATAATGTGTGCTTTGAAATTTTCTCTCCACACTAATGACAGCAACAATGCGATGCTTCTCACCCATCATGGTGTGTGATGAGGGCAGGAGGGCAGGAGGGCAGAGGTTTTTGAGGCTTTTGGTGGCAGCAGTGGCATGTGCTTCTCACTGGTGACGGTGTGCGAGGAGAGTGCAGAAGCGCCCTGCCCTGCTGTAATATGTGATGGTGATGGTAGAAGCACGGTGGCAGCAGTACAACATTATTCTCACCGGTGATGGTGTGCGAGGAGAGGACAGGTTGCGAGGGCAGGAGGGCGGAGGCGAGCGCAAGGGTCGCAGCAGCGAGCAGCGCGGGAAGCACGGCGGGGAGGGAACGGGAGAGCAGCAAGCGGACCGCCGCAGAGACTGTACAAGAGAAGGGCGAGGAGGGAACTTTTGAGACGCCTCAAAGCACGGCGGGGAGGGAACGGGAGAGCAGCAAGCGTGCCGCAGCAGAGACTGGGAAGAGAGGGGGGAGGAGGGAAGGATTGGGGAGTTTTCGTTTAGTCACGAATCGAAGATGACCTGGCGATCCAAGTAACAGCAGAGATGGGGAGGACAACGGGAGAGAGGAATGTGGGGGAGGGAGTTATCTGGGCGATAGCGGGGCTTGGGAGGTAGAGGGATTTGGGACTGGGAGATAGGGGAAAAGTGGGCGCGGAGCAGTGAGCAGTGAGCAGTGAGAATCAAGCGGGGTACCAAGAAGCTCTCGTACAGCATCTGTTGCAATGCAAACACGGATCGCCTCAGTGCATACATCAAACACTCACTCCTCTTACTTGCCTCTAACCGCTCTTATTCACCCCCCTCCCCCTACCCTCTCCTCCCTCCTCGTTTCCATGTGTAATTCCCCCTTCCCTTCCCCCTCTCCCCCACGGTCCTCGTTTCCCCCAACCCCTCCCGCCCGCCCCTATCCCCCCACGCGCGCACCTGCAACAGCGACCGCCACTGCCCCCACAGAAACCCACACGCGCGCCAGCGACCCCGCCACTCCCCCAAGCCCCCTCTCCGCCCATCCCCACAGGAACGCCCCTCCGCGCTCCTTGACCGCGGCCTCCGCGGCGGAAAGAGCCGCGGACAGCAAGGGCGGCGCCGCGGGGGAGGCGGAAGCGGAGGCGGAGGTGGAGGAGGGGGAGGCGGGAGTCGGCGGCGCGGGGGAGGCTGTGGGTGCGGACGGTTTAGACGGCGCCACGTGCGCCGTGGTTAGGCGAATGCCGTACGGCTGTGGGCTGACATAGCTGGAAGAGACGGCCGCGGGCGGGAGAAGGGGGGCGGGGGGAATGCAGTCGGGGGCGGGGGAACGAGAAGGGGACGAGAAGGAATGAGAGGGTATGAGAGGGTATGAGAGGGTATGAGAGGGAATGCGAGGGAATGAGAGGGTATGAGAGGGAATGAGAGGGGACGAGGGGGACGAGACAGAAGGAGGGGGGCGAGAGGGGATGAGAAGGGATGAGAGGGGCGGGGAAAAGTGTTCAGCGACGGATAAAGGGCAGTGGATCTGCCAGCATCAGTCCATGTGAATATGATGGATGTGCTGTAAGAATCACAGTGACGAGTTTATGTACTGCTTGGTAGATCACAGCGCTTGTGAAAACTAGTCGGTACTCTCTTGTAGAGTAGGATCTACGGAAATAAAATCTGGAGACTCCAGAAGCAGCAACGGATGGGAGAGAGCAGAATCCTTTCACGCAACGATCACCGCCCATGCGACTGTGTGCGACGAATATCACCTCCTGGGCGATGCATAGTCGCCTGAAAGAAGGGTGATTTTGAGACGTCTCAAAACCACTCCGTGCGACGAAGCTCACCTCCTCGGCGATGCATAGTCGCTCGGAGATTGATATGACCACGGGTTCCGGAAATCAACCTTCGAGTCGCCGCGCTTTGGACCCTGCTTCGTCTTTCCCCTGCCAGAAGCGCCTGCCGCAGGGATAGAGTAGGGCCGGGCAGCAGGGACATGACTGCCCACGATTTTCGCCGCATCTTCCGCCGCAGGGCTCGAGTAGCCTGGTATGCCGTAACTCGGAATCGTTGCCGTTGCTGTCGTCGTTACCGTTACCGTCGGTGTTCGCTTGTTGACGCGACGAGGGTAGTGCCCTGAGAGTCGTAGTAGGTTTGGCGAAAGACTGGACGGAATCACTATCGGGTTCAAAGTGCGAGTCTGACTACTAACGCGCGATGGCCCTGCGCCGGGAGCAGCGGATTCCGCCGAGGGTAGTAGTAAGCAGCGGGAGGAAGCGGAAACGGCGAAGGATGATCGCGCGTTCTGAGACGACGTGAAAGATCCGGAGCCACCATGGCCGGAAGTCGCGGCGGGCTGTGCGGAGGCGAGGGGCGACGCGAGGAAGCCATTGTGTACGGCACCGAGGACTGCCATTGCGCACGTCGGGAGTACTTTCCTACTGCTGCTGTAACAGCGGTGGCGGCAGCTACGTACCGACACGACTGGAAACTGTGGTTGTGGAGGAGCCTGGCGCTCTGGTGGCGATGTTCTGGAATCTGCTACAGCAAGGGGAGTTGGGCTCTGTTTGGAACAACTGGAGCCAATCAACAAGGGGAACGGTAGGGCTGGTTTGAAATAGGTTGTTCATTTGTTGTGTGAGCTTTTCCTTGCATACGGGGACTGGGGGAACGGGAAACGGGAATGTCGGATGTGAGGGGAGCGGATGGGGGAAGGCTAGCGAAGCAGGGGGCATTGGCGCGCCACATTTTGTTGCGCACCATTCTGGGTTGGGGCGGGGAGGGAACGGAAGAGGTGTTTGTTGGGCTGGCATGCGCGGAGAGCATCGATGTGGAATCGCGCTGCGAGAGTCGAATTTGCGATCCGCGAAATTTATGAGAGATCGATGTGCGAGGAAGGCAGTGGAGTAAATGCCATGTCAGCGTGAATCATCGGGAATCTCGATTAATGGCACGTGGCAGAAGGAAAGGAGGTATCATCATTCAGACCCAAGAAAGCTTCTCGTCACTCATCACAGTCGATCCTCGATTGAAGGATCTGAACAACGGGGTACAATGCGTCACAAAATGCACCCATTCATACTGGCACAATTAGCGAAATTCAACCATACACCATGCTCAGCATCAAGGCTGAAGCTTTTTAGTCCCTCCAACATTCCGCCAGCCCCACTGTTTCCACTTCTCAGCATAAGGGCTGTACTAGCTTTTCAGTCTGGGACCGCGATTCGTGTGAAAAACAGTCACTCAGGCTGCTTCGCAAGCGATCGTTCTGCGCCGCACGCTCGGGCGCTTGGCGGCAATGGCGACGGCGAACACCTTCTACTTTCCCCCGTTCGCGAATGCGACTCCGACTCGATTGGAGAATATCGACGCGGCACGCATGTCTGGACCGCATAACGTGGCTGCCACGGTTCGCACGGTCCCCCATTTCCGTCAAGAGTTTAATTCGTTGACGAGAAATAGAAATCAAAGACGAATACAATTAACCGTCAAGTCAGCCCAATTGAACCGACGGTCGTTATTCACCCTAAGAATCCAATGTGCGGGATCGTCCGACGATAATATCAGCCGCGCATCTTCCCACACTCCCCAAATCCCCTCCACCTCCGCGCCATCTCCTGCCACTCCTCCTCTCAGCCCTCCGCCAAGCGTTTCCTCCAGTCCTTCCGCCAGCTCTTCCGCCGGTCCTTCCGCCAGCCCGTCCGCGCGCCCTCCGCTCGGCCCGCCCCCCGAGTACAGCGATTCCTTCACTGATCTCCTCTTCATCCACCTTTGCCGCCAAGCCTTCGGGCGCGTGGCGCAATGGCAGTCCGCGCGCCCGTGGGCGGAGGGCTACCTGGGCATGGTGGAGGTCTCCCGCGCGCTCATGCGCGGGCGCTCCGCGGAGGCGCAGCGGTCCGCGGTGCTGCAGGGCTTTCCGCGCGTCCCCGCGATGTTCCGCCGCGCGTTCCCCTTCTCGCACTGGGGCGCGGAAGCCAACGCGGCTATCACTCCGCGGTTCTTCTCCTGGCTGGTGGGCCCATGCCACGTGGAAGAAGCAGAGATTCCCGCGGTTGACGAGGGGGAATTTCGCAGCGGAGCAGCGGGGGAGGGGGAGAAGCGGGAGAAGGGGGAGAAGGGGGAGAAAGGGGAGGTGGGGAGTGGGGCAAGGGGAAAGATGGTGAAGTTGCAGTGTGGTGTGAAGATAGAGAGGTGTAGATATCTGGAGACGAGTGGGTGTGTGGGAATGTGTGTTAACCTGTGCAAGATGCCCACTCAGCACTTCTTCACGCATGAACTCGGGTACTTTACCGCATCACAGCGTTACCATGTTTCATCGTTCTGGCGAGACTGCGTTACCGTGTTACTGCGTTAGGGCGTTACGGCGCTAACACGTTACTGAATTACAGCATTTTAGTGCTTTATGATGGGGGGCGAAAATGCTATAAGGAGGTGGAAGGGGGCATATGGGAGGAAGGGGCTGGAAGGTGGGGTAACTGGAATAGGCCAGGTACGGTGAGTAAAGGAGTGTTGCATGTCTTATGCCGGCACTGACTAGTGGAATCATCTATCTCATTTTCTCCTCTTACCATGTCTTCCCCTCTCAACCCCTTCTCCCCATGCCAGTGTTCCGCTCACTATGGAACCCAACTTTGAGGACTTCAGCTGTCGCATGGTGTTTGGCCTTCCTCCTCCACTCCCATCCTTGGACCCTGCTCTCCAGCAACCATGCACAGCCACGTCATGCCCTGCAGCTAGATTAGATACCGACGAGCCATGTCACCAGCTTCAGTGACATCCTTGTTGTGACATCCTTATTTACTTCCTACGTTACACCAAGTGCAGAAGTGATGGAGCATGTAGCATTGCCAAGTGCCTCATCTCCTTCCAATGTGCCGGTAGTCCGGTGAGCAGGTTCAAGGTGAAGGTATCTTCATCCGCCACCTTCCCTGCAAGTGCTAACTTGTCCTGGATTTTTCGTCGTGGATCTTCGTAGAGTTTAAGGACTGAGTAGGATTGTAATAGCGGAAGCGTTGTAATACAGAGTGGTTGAACCACCTTGCACTAGTATGTGAGAGCAAAGTAAGTTGGATTAAAGCCCGGGGTCAGCATGGTAAATTATCAAGTTATGTGTATTTGAAATAGGCTGTATGCGAGATCTGCGAAGCCTATTTCGGTTGGCTACCCTTGGCGAGAACAATTTTCCGCCGCAAACAAGTGAACATTTCGCACTCACCAATCCTGCGAATCCCACCAACCCAAAGCGACAAATGTGTCGCACACATCCTCTCTTGCATCGAGCATGGAAAGTGTTGCTCACCCGAAGTCACCTCACCACTGAATCAGCTCGATGCTAACGGGAAATAGAAAATCTGAGCAAGCAAAGCACGTGCAGGTTATCAACGCCACCTACTCAACGCCACAACAGAAACGTGTTCGAGACGATCCTTACCCCAGATTACTTGGGTAACGACCATCGCAGGAGCTGGCAACAGCAAAGTGTAGGAACGTGCAAGCGCGATTGCACTAACGGGAAGAAGGTCGTGATGACAGACTAGAGACTACGGGTAGCTAGGCACAACAAGAAACGACGAGTGTATTGGAGTCGTTGTGACTAGCCAGGGGGAAGAAAGCGGACTAGATTCAGCTCGCGCACCAAGCGCCGAGCAGCACTCGCTCGCCACATTTAGCTGCTCGCGTTCTGTGCGACGCGGAGCCCGCATTCCTCGCGACGCGGATCTCGCATTTCAGGCGGATCTGATCCCGCCCTCCAGTCGACGCGGAGCCCGCGTTCCAGACGACGCGGAGCCCGCGTTCCCGGCGACGAGAAGCGCGCCCTCCAGGTGACCTGGCTACAACCACCGCGCGCACAACTAAAGCGGATACTGCGGAGTGACGGGGAGCAAGGTGCAGCACACGCCCCTGCGGATCGCTACAGAGGATAGCCCAGGTAAGTGCCCATTTCTCTGCTACTACTACTATAGTACAGCGACAATGGTCGCTGCTGCCTTGAGGGTCCTATCGCGCTCACGTGTCACGAGGCAAAGGCACACAACTGCAACCAGAATTGCTGCTGCCTTGGGCTTGCTTTCACCACTGTAAACCCACCTGTTCTGTCCCAAGGCAGCAGCATCTCTGGATGCTGTTGCCTTGGGCCTGGTTTCAGCGTTGTAAACCCACCTGTTCTGTCCCAAGGCAGCAGCAACCGTGGATGCTGCTGCTTTGGGCCTGGTTTCAGCACCATGCCTCGACCTGTTCAGTACCCAGGCAGCAACAACCAGAGTTGCTACTGCCTTGGGCTTGCTTTCACCACTGTAAACCCACCTGTTCTGTCCCAAGGCAGCAGCATCTCTGGATGCAGTTGCCTTGGGCCTGGTTTCAGCACCATGCACCCACCCGTTCAGTCCCCAGGCAGCAGCAACCAGAGTTGCTGGTGCTTTGGGCCCTTTCTCTATTGCGTGCACTCACCGCTCGGTGCTGCATGACGTGCATTTGCACATTTCTGCAGACATCTATAGATGCCCTAATCCTTGTCCCTGCTATGCCAACGCCCTAACCATCCATCTCCTTCCTCTCCTCGGGGTATGCGCTGACATGGTTTCAGATGGCAGGGGTTGGTGTAGGTGCGGGAGGGCATCCTGCAATACAAGCATGTAAGGATGCCCAGAGAGGAACGGTCAATATTTCGGTCCACATGCGGCCACTTTTGTGTGTTCTCCGCGTCGGGGCTCATCGGAGCAACATTGTTGTTGTTGTTGCTGTTGTTTGACTGCGCAGGCACTCCTTGCTGGTGTTGCTCGTAGAAGGACATGAAGGAGAAAAATTTCTCCATCATGTTTGAATCGAAGCCTGCTGGTGTTTCCGTGGACCTAGCTGCTGGTCTTGCGGTGGTGCCTTCCTCTGTCTGTAGGCCAGAGGCAGGAGGTGGAGTAGGAGTAGTGCCTGGGGAACCGTTGGAGGAGCTCCTCTCCTTCCTTGCAGACATGTCTTCTTTCTTTGTATTTAAGTATTGAGAGAGAAAATGATCTTAAACTCTAACTGCTCTCATACCATGTTGGGCTGAGAAGCCCTAGGATCTTTGTAGAGTTTAAGGACTGAGTAGGATTGTAATAGCGGAAGCGTTGTAATACAGAGTGGTTGAACCACCTTGCACTAGTATGTGAGAGCAAAGTAAGTTGGATTAAACAAGCAAATACAAGGTTTATATAAGAGTACAAGGAATACGAATAGATAGATTTAAACCGTTTTACAGTTGCGATTCGATACAGTGCGACTCGGGCAACTGCTCAATGTCGAGTCAGTTGTGTGTCCTTGTTGTCGCGCTGTATTGGTCAAGTCAAAGGTCGCTGACCTTTGACCTTCGCGTAACCTCCAGGCAGTTACCCCAACCTCCGAGGGTTGACTCGCGATGCTTCGATTTGGACTGCTTCGCTAGTG